AGGATTTCAAATTGGACATTTTCTTCGACCTCGATTATCATCGTAAACCAGTGATTGAAGTTATAATCCCTTGGCTTAAAATACTTCACTATTTTGCAGTATTTTCACTTAATGATTTTCAGGCGATCGCTCAAGGAATGAATTTAAATCGATAACATTCGTAAACCTAGTCTGTTTACTAATCTAACTATCATTAACGTTGAAATTAGTATAACTGTGCGCAAGGCTGTTCGTCTTCAACGTACGTATTTAGGTATTCGCCTATATACATATATAATCTAAGCTTTCGGCATGGCTGACAATTTGCTAGTTAGCACATGTTGCAGTAGAATACCAATGAAATCGATTACGGAATGAAATTCTAAAACAAAACAGTAATTATGTTGTGCAGCCAACCTCTATAGTTTCTTTCATGCTGTCAGTGCAGTCAGTGTATAGCTCTGTGTTATAGTCGGAAATGTGCAGTGCATCCAGGTTTCTTTTACTGAGGAACTTTATCGTCGATGGGGGGAGTGTTTTATTGGTCGTTTGCATTTCCATGTTATTGCTATGAAGTTGTTTATGCAATTGAGTGACTGAATATTTTCCTTTATCATGCTCGGGGGTAAAATTCCTTTGGTAGGTTGTCAGTCTTATGAGATGGTGTGTTCTACAACTAGCAGAATTCGTTTGCCTTCTGTCGATTATAAGCTTTTTCTGTGCATCGTTAATTAGACTCGTTCAAAACTAATCCTCTACGGATCGAACCGTATCACTTTTTAGTAAAAGAAAATCATCTGAGTGTCACCTTGTAATAATACATTCCGCTTATTGATTTCTTTCGAAGCGCACTCTACGTCCGTATTAAAAAAGAATAATTCGAAATGACAGTAATTTTGTCCTTCATAAACCGCTATCGTCCAAGATCTTTTTCACCTCACGCGTAAGATGTGCGGTCTATAATCTAATGGCTGTTGACGACAGTACTGAGGAACGAGCAAGCGACTGATTTGTTGACTAATGGCCGCTAGCAGAGGTCAGTCGCGTGCAGTGCCGATCATCCACGCTTGCTATGATCATTATCCGGCTCGTGCACGTCAATGCTCATCTGTAGATACTGTAAAAATTGAGTTCAGCTGTCGCACTTTCACTTAAATTAGCTGTATAGCATCGGGTGAAACTTCGTTACGGTAATTTTTACCTGCTAAAGTGCCGATCATGGTTCTCAACGATTTTTACTCTTTAAGTTATTGTAATTTACCGTACTAACTTTCGACTTAATCAAGTTTAGTCTTGCTCGGAAAATCACTTCTAACTGCTGTCGACACATCGATATCGCAAGTTAGCTATTTGATTGAAATTTTATCGTTGCAGACTTCCGTGTTTTAAATATTTCGAGGGTAAATCTGAGTTCAGGTAGCGCTGTTTTTAACCTTCAGGCTTTATGAGCTCATTTGAGGTAGGCAAAATACAAGAGTTACTATTGTTTATCTTATGTAAGTACATGAGTACGTGAATCCCATCGAGTACAATGATCCTTGTTTACATATTGCATAATTCCGGTTATTGCCTGCGTTTCATGGTGCCAACTAGATTTAACCTCAGTCTGTTAATAAGCACACAGGCTTCACCACCGCGTACGACTTCAAAGATTAAAAGTCCAATTTCTTTCGTTTCAAGACGTCAGTTCTGTTTCGTATTCGCGGTCGATCGATGCACACTTCTTTGTTGTGGTCGAATTTGCAGTGAATGATAAAATGTACCGGGAATCGCCCGCGAGCTGCAGTCCTTCGTCTTTTAATATTTTGAAATAAACGTCTCGGTAAGGATATAACGAGGACGTTGTCAGCAAGTTTGGCAAGAACCTGCGCATACATCAGATTGTTGGAGGTCGACTTGCCACCTCAGCCGGTGCCTTATGCGACCTTAGTGGCGATTTTTAAAGCGATCGACTCGAAATCTCAGGAGGTGACGTAGAGAAGCAGCGATATAATGCAGTCTATTCCTAAGGTCCGCCGCTTTTCTTTCTTCACTCCAACTCGTTTCATTGTGAATTTCACTACTACGGATAAAATTTATAGATCCCATAAGTAGTATTTGTCTATTTTTATGCCAAGGTATTTCAGATTCGAAAGTTTTCACATTTCTGCTATCAGTAGACTCTCCCCTGCACCCTGATTATTCAACAGTTCTTTACGTATAGGTTTCTTACTCACCAAATTAAACGTGATGTCGACTGACTTTTCAACATTTGCTATTTTCTCCAGTGGGCTGACCAGATGATGTAAAGCTTAAAGCAGTCTAAGTCCGTCTTTGCCTCAGGTTCTTTGTTAAGTATTTTTTTTACTGTTCGTCTTGTCTCTTAGCTACTTAAGTAACTTTCTGAAAGAAGTTTTTACAAATGGAGAAATAATTGTTTGAAATAGCAAAAGAATAATGAACTTTGTTTTAGTTTTCCTATGGAAAGCGTTGGATTATTTTACTGATTTAGTTAATAGTTAATGATTTAGTAAATAGTTATTAATTATTATTCTTCGATCAGTGCGGTTTTTACGCAGGTAGTTTTCCTATCGTTTTTATTCTGTTGTAATAATTCTGCTCCAGTGGAGTTGTTCAGCACAAAGCTACTTTTTGCTTCACATTCAGAACCATTTGCGCATATATCGAAGACGCAACGAATGACTTGCGTTGAAACATCTCTTTTTACGATATATAGAAAAATTAAATTTCTACAGTATGAAGCAAGCAGCTGCGATTCGTTTAGCAAAATTGCGTAATTAAACACAACTTAAAAATGTATATTCCAAAACAATCTTATATAACCGTTTGTTGTTTGCTTTTAAAGCTTCCCGTAGTGACGAACACAAAATTGATTCTGTCGCCATATTACTTATTTTTTCCAAATTTTCAGAAGCTGATTTGAGAGAGTAGCGTCGTGGCGTGCATGAGACGTTGAATGCTGGGCAGCCTAGTACGTAAACATCCAACACAACACCATCTGATTTGAGAGTCTTGTGATTAGGTTAGATGTCTTGAGAAGAACGCCTTTCTTCAACTTACCGGGTGCAAACCCCTCCGTCATGCAACTACACATCGTATACGGCAGAATTACGCTGATCTTGGATTATTGTCGGATAATGTAATATAACTTTAAAAGATTAAGGTTAAAACAACAGTAGTTATATAGTAATTTGCATCACGGAAGTCAGCTATAATGCTATAATGTAAATTTTCTGCAGCATTTATTTTAACCCTTACCTCATTGTAACGTGCATTACAGTATATTTGATTCGGCTTTGCATCAAGAAGATTAATTAACGTTCACTTGAACGTCGTTTAAAACCATGGTTAATTTTGCTATATCTTTAAACGAATTGAGGAAAAATTTTCCAAACCTCTTGTTTGACTTTTATGACTTATTTGCCTAACCGACCTCTACTGTCTCTTTGTTTGGTGAATGTTAGACAAGTTATTTAGTTGCTTCTTTGAAGAAACCGAAATCTGCCGTTTTTCTCTGTATGAAATGGATATTTACTGAATGTTTTTTTCATACTTGCTTTCTACTCCCTTACGATGGCCTTTAACATATGCTTATTGCCAAATGTTGGTGTATGCAAGTTTCTGAACTTTTTGAATCACGCTCTTCGTCTTGATTAATAAATGCTTTTAGGATTGATTATTTTGCACGTAATTACTCTAGCGTAATCTAAGGAATAGGGCAACTTATTAATGACATGACGGTGCTGAGGAAACACGCTAAACACTGTTGACGGTCGAGGAGTTGTTTTTCCCATTAACATAATTTCGTTATTATCGATGGAAGAATCGGTTCAAAGTCGAAAGAAAAAATTGGCTTGAAGTGACAGAGGTTTCAGAACTCAAAACGTGCTTCTTTTTCAACGCACGTAATAAATTTGCACTAATACTATGCGGTATGTAAGTAATAATAAATAATAGTCGCCTGTCGTGCCGTTGATCACATTTGTCGATTACAAAGTAAAACAGCAGTAATTGTTCGTGTTTCTTAGGATTTCCTTGAAAGACCTTCTGATGTTGGCCTCGTAATTCATCAACGGATTGTTTCCATGATGCATGATTAGGAAACCCAAGCATATAACAGTGACGGTTAATTTTCACTAACACCGTTGAATACGTTCTTGCACTATTTCGTCATGTAATGCTGTTAGGTTCTTAGTTTCAAGTTAAAGTGTACAAAATGTACCATCGAGCGTACCGCTTTCCAGTCGCGTACACTCATTAAGGTGTAGACGACCACTTGGAAAGGGGAGCCTTGAGCGCGTGCCCAAGTTGCTTTCGTTCCTTTTTCTATTCTTGGTTCTTGTTTTTCGATGATATTTTTGTTCTACGTTCAATAACAGAGGATACAACTCTGAATTCGACTTGATTTCACCTCTTATGTCAATGAAACAGAGTCGAAGAACCGTATAAAACCCAACAGCAAAACCTGCCATTCCTGGAGATGGTAGCCGTTGAAATTTTAAATACTTGGTGTAACGAAAACTCACTACTCTTAAATATACATTCATTAAAATTTTGCGTTCTATGCGCATTGTGCACGAATATGCTGAAGATTATCGGTCGTTGCATATCAGCAACATGCAGCAGTGGAAAGGGAATGAAGAGTTCTCCATCGTCACAAGATATCTCTTCAATACTCTAAACTGAACTGCTACTGCACCTAGTTTTAACTTGGGCAGCTCACCAGTCCCATAATAGCTATCACATTTTATGCCTTAGTTTCAAAACATGTCAGAAAATACTCAATGAAAATGGTATTTTGAGTTTACAACAAACATTGGAGGACACTGACGATTCAACCCTTTCAAGAAACTCTTTTCAGATAATCGAGCAGAAGCCGTCAATGTAATTTATACGGTAAAATGCAGTGATTTCGGCTTGGTTCATATTGGCCAGTCCTATAGACAGCTTAATATAAGAATGGAAGACAGTGTGTCAGCAACGCGCGCAAATATTATGCTTAATATCTGGCATTGCGCCCAATGCCGTTGGTGAACTACGTGGCGTCAACAAAACAAGGTTTTCGATAATTGGCAGTGGCACACCACCGTGATGGGGCGGTTAATCAAACAGTCCCTTCACATTTTGGCACGGAAGGAGCAAAAGTGTAAAATATGCTCTTCTTCATGCTTTGATATAAGTCATAGATTGAATGCAGTCACTTATCAGTTGCGAAAACTGAATTCGTCGCATAAGTCGACTCGGCTCGCAGGATTACTCGACTCTCCCGCGGGATTATGTTAAATGAACATTGTCATTTTGTCGGAAGTTTGAGTTAAGTTGTTAAATTATTTCCTGCTGATAGTTTTATTGCTGCTAGTGACGAAACGTGTCGACGACTACAGTAAAACGCTCCCGTTTCTTACGTAACCACGCATCAAGAAGACAACATCCGTTATTGATGCTTCTGTTCTACTGAACAAAATTGTACAGGGAGCATGGGTAGAAAAAATGATGGCATAAATTAAAAGGTACCAAAACTTGGCAGGTCTTAAGCAGCTACACCCATTAAAGTCTGCACAGTGGATGGCGATGGTCATCTCTGCAAACGGCCTCATTTCTAAATCAGTGACGACGCGCTTGCACCAGCTGAATATCACAGAAACCTATTACGATAGTGCCAGAAGTAGCTGTTGTTTTTGATACAGCTGGAATATTAAAAAAATCATGCAAATTACAGATGTGTAGCTGGTTGCAACTCTCTGTCTATGCTTTGCCCCTGGCTGCTGGCAAACTTTTTTCTGCCTGACAGAATATGAAATAAAATAAACAGCATTTATTACTGTGCATTGAAAAATGAGCGCCGTTTCGGGTTTCGCGCGCTCTGTCACTTCAAACCATTTCTGCTATTGACTTGTATCAGTTTCAGCTGATTAATATCATTATTCCGCGATGAATTCTACCTTGAGCTTTAAAACAGATTTTGTCCGTGCGATGAAGTAATTGCCATCCGCGTACAACAAAGTGGTTATCTCACCGCAGAAACTGTCATTTTTCCAGTAATGTTTCTTTTGTAATTTTTGGATGCGTGCATTTGGCAACATATCAAAAAATGACACGATGACAGTTGTGTTCTCATTTTGGAAAGTAGCCAGCATTATGGTGCTGTTTCACCATCCTTTTTTGGCGATTATTGCCTTCTGTGGTCTTCAGTTCGGTTCTCTTTGAAAAATTTGGTTTTTTCGTTATTAACGCGAAATATTTAGGCTGATTTTCTTATGCTCACATTCTATATGTTCAGTTTTACAACACATATCATTGACGAGAGGAAAAAGTTTGCACAGTCATTTTGGCTGATGAGGGGTTAGAAGGATCAGCCGAAATCTGGTTCTTTGTTTTTCTTCAGTTCTACGTGTGAGCGTTTTCCTCTCGACATGCTTAGCGCACCACAACATAGCACAATTTATTCTAACTTTTAAGATGACATTCGTGTTTGCTGTTTGTTTGTGTGATTTGTTGTTTGTTTGATATTATGTTTTATATGCAGGTTTATAAATTTGAAATATAGGAGTCGTTTAAGGTGTCGGTCAACGAAGCCGCGGCGCAGATCTGTCTGCATCGACCGGCGCTGTTGACCAGGAGGGACGAGTTGTTTCCGTTGGCGCGGCAGGTCGTTCGCGACGCCGGCTACAACTGTCTAAAGGGTCATTCGGCGTAAGTTTAGTCTTCGTTGATTTTCGCATGTGGCACGTTGTTCTGATGACGTCGACTACTCCGTTCTAGGATTCGTACCGAAAGCGAAAACGAGCTGAGCAGTTCAGAAACGCAGAGGAAACGGCGCACACCGATCGGTTCCACTGGAAGCAGTGGCATCGGTTCACCGGCGTCCACTGCTTCGAACAACAGTCAGGCTTCGCCACTCGGCTTGCAAGACAGTGCACAGAACGAGCAGCACAATTTGTCTCCTCTGATGTCTGATAGGTGAGTGTCGTCGACGTCTACGTCGACAGTCATAATGAATAACGATAAACAAAAGTATATGCGTAATTTTTTGACTCTGCTGTTGTGCGATTAGCATCCTCTCCTCCTCGGTCTGATTCAGTCGGTCGTCAGATGTGAATCACGATTACTCAGTCGTTGAAGCTTCGAATTCTCTACTAAGTTAGGTCCTGGGTGTCAGTTGGAGGACAGGGGAACCGTCACACGTTTGACGAGTTCGGCCTACTACGCGGAATTATTGCGAACAGAGATCTGGAACTGCTTGACGTGTAGTACCTATACACCATGGATGTCATTTAACTTGTTTTACGTGTATTTAGTCAGAAGTCGCGGGAGGGCAGGAAATAACGTACCGATATAGAATAGAATACTGTTGTCTTGTACATCCCAATCCTCAGACGACCAAGGACATCCCAACGCTAGTATGTCGTCATCTGTCTCATCGTGCTCCTCCTCATCTCATGTCGCACATTTCAGTGAAGCACTGGTTGTCAGGCTGACTGACATTCAAACGGTTACACGCTTTCCTTTGCTTTCTTTCCAGTTGTGCATGCATACACATAGCTCTGATTCTAAACTAAGTTTGACGTTGCGCTTCAGCGTTTTGGCTGTCTGAAACAGTACTATCGAACACTGGCTCGTAACCCTCGCCCTGTACTGTGAGTGTTGCACACTTGCTTCCGCCGAAACACGTCGATATGCAGTGGATCTCGTGTTAGGAATTACAAGATGCCTCCCCTTCACGTTTCAGAGCTTTCTCGCGACAGAGGGAAAACGTTCTCTTCAGCCTTCTTGCAGTTGTCATATCTTGCCACTCGCATATTGACTCGTTGATTGCGTCCCGTTACCATCGATTTCCTGCTGTCCGCTGACCAGTCGTTATTCCTAATTTCTGTTCAACCGATTTTTGGTTGTAATATCTGGTCTGTATATGCTTTTCTTTTCAAATGCTTTCCATTTATCGTGTATAAAGTCATGACGTAGAGGTCGTCTGAATTTTTTATCGGCAGTGGTGATCCGTTACACGTAGCGACTGCAATTTTTACGTTATTAATTTTGTAGTGCGTGCAAATGAGTTAAGTTTCTAAAACTATTTACTTGTGTTATTTCTGAATACACTGTTAATTTCAGATCCCACGAAGCAAAGAAACGGCGTCGCTTAGACGACATAGGTTCAGAGCTGAATCGCATCGCACAAGAGCAGGAATCGTACAAGCTTCAGGTTGACCAGGCACAAGATTTAAGTGATTTGCATAATATTCAAAGAGAGCTCCAAAGATTGACTCAACGACAGTTGGAGCTGACCGACGAACAAGCCGATCTAATCGCGTCAGGAGTGAATGACGAGTAAGTTAATTATTTGCTTGTTTGTTTCTTTACTTTATAGTTTTTGCTTTAATTATTTACATAATTGTTTACATTTTCGCGTTTATTCATTTTCCTGTAGCGCACTTATTCGTAGGATTAAGCTTCACGTATGGTACAAGCGAAGTTTGAGATTTACATTCGAGCAGCGTCATTGTTCATTGGTCACAATGATAGCTGCACGGTCACGATAGTGCCATTGAACTCGCGATTTAAACATTGGCGATTCTTATGTCTACGTAGTATCTGGTATTTTTCCGTTTAAGTAGATAGGTGAATACCTCATGCATGAAAGGTGATTGAGTTTCCGTGCTGGTGACCATCTAATCGTGTATCTTGCATTCAGAAGCGAGTAAGCGTCCCCTGCCTGAGGTGTGAATCATGAGCTTATTGTTGCTATGATGTTTTGTACTGCCATTGGCCCTATCATGGAAGTTTAAGAGTATAAGAGACACTACTGAAATGAAGTATTATGCCTGCCGTCTTTGTTTTTTCACCCGGTCATTTACCGTATAGAACACTATATTCGAAACCTGGTTTTATTCTGGTCAGGCAATATTTTTGTACCTGTATAACTTGGGTTCTGAAAACGGAACAAACTACGCTGAAATCCCTTTTACAACTTTTACAGCCAGGCAAGTTTTAAAGGAATAACTGCAAAGTAAACTTGTGCCTATATATTTTAATGAACGTTAATGTGTCATGTTTCTTCGTTGTATACGCTGTTCTGACTCATTGTTTCAGTTTCTTTTCTCTGTTCATCGTATTCTTCTCCTCTTGCTCTTCTGTTTTTTTTGCTTTCATTTTGCTCTTATTTTGGTTTGTCTTTTGCTTGTAGTTCCTCATTTTCATTTGAACGCTTTTTTCACGTTCTGCTTCGTCGTCGAGGTCCTCTCTTTGTTCGTTTTTTGCTCTTTCACGTTAGTTTGCCAAACTTCGCGGTTGGAGATATCATATTTTTCCCTACGCAGCAGAATTACTACAACTGCTTAATCTTTGTTAAAGGATTCGATGTTCCTACCACTGCTTCACCATATTTCATGGGGCGTAATTGAAATTTTATAAAGTCTACAGTTAGAACTTTGATGGCCATGAGATGCCACTTTTGACATAGATTTAATGATGGCCATCGTAGATCGATGGAACAATATTATGACAAAGAACAGTTCGGAAATGAACCAGCTCGGTAATCAGAATTCGGTCTGGCCATTGAATTTCCTTTGTTTTCGAACGTATGCCGTAAACGTCTGCGGCAAAAGTTGTTTTTCATTTTTCGATTTAATAGCGACAACGATCAATGTTTCTCATTGCATAAAGATTGATTGGAATAAAACTGCATGCCAGATTTATATTTTATATGTATATTCGATTGTACAGAAGACGTGTGATTATAGCGACTCGAAATCTAAACCACTGAGCTTGACCATTTGGCGGGCAAAACCGGGCCATTGAAAATGCGTCCTCTTCCAATTGCCTCACCATAAGGTTAAAAATGAATGATCTTTGCAGTTTGTTACTCCCCTCACTTGTTAACTGAACATTTGCCCCGGTAGAATCAACCAGTTGTTCATTGGGCAGCCCGTTTATCGCTTTTTACATTGATCCTCTCTACTGAACATGTACGCTTTGAGATGATATTCGAACTGTTTCCTTCTTGCGACACTGTTTGTACGATATGACTGGTCGTCGGTCGAGTTGTCGTCGCTTCTGTTGCAAATACGTTTTACAAACTGTTCATCGTCATATGTAGCCATTTTGCAGGACGTTCAGATCTAGGGGAGGTTTGAGGGATAAGGGGGGGGCAGTCCTTAGTAGACCCTGCTCAAGCAGTCAGCCGTGCAATTTATTTAATTTTTATTGAGAGCAGTGTTAATTGTTTCAAGCACTGCTTCCCACGCTTCGATTTTCTCGTTCACGCTTTTTCTGCTATTTTCAAATAGCACTGCAACAATTGCACAGAAAGTTCAGCATGCTGTTGTTTCATACGGCCAGCATCAAAAGCAAAAATTTGATGTAGACTTTAAATCCTTTCCTGAGCAGGTTAATTTTGCGTCGCCTTGCATGTTTACTGCCCCCCCCCAAACAACTGTTTATGCTGTGCTTCTTTCTCATGATCCACAGACCTATTTTCCTCTGTGTAATTGTACTGTCGCCATGTTCCTCACTTCATGTCATGCGTGTCACTGCGTTTTTGCTAGCGCTAAAATGTTGAAGTTGAAAACAATCGAAATATGTTTAATTTTTTGTACAGTGATTTATGATTTTTTGATTTTGTTGCAGAATCACGCCCAAGCTTGAATATCCTTCGGCTCCTTGCTCAGTTCCTCAGACTGGTAACTCTTCGTCATTGGAGCGCAGTTCTGAAATCCCAGCGATTAACCCAAACTCAGACTGTACTGAAGACACGAAAGTCGGCATAGCCTGCTACAGTAACCAATGAAGCGCTCACTAGCCAATGAGCGAGCGAGCGAGCGAGTGGGCGGGCGGGTGGGCTGGCGATTTTGGACATTGCTAAACTGTGATGACACGTGCAGTGAGTCTCTTCCGAATAATCACAATCATTATCGTTTTTATTT